CCTTATTTTTAACATCCTTTTATTCTCTGTTCTATTTTGATTTTTATATTTTTAATGTATTGATTGTTTTTAGCTTTGTTGTATGCTGGCCAAAGTCACCTGTGGTGAGATGGGTGGCTGTATAAATTGGTTAAATAAATAAATTTATTACATGATTTATTTCCTTTTAAATCATTTATTTCCATAACAACATTATTTGTTACAAAGTAAAAAACCTCTAAACAATTTAGGAATATAATCCATACCTTCTTGACAAGCAAATCATCTGCCTGTTGACAACATTATGCATGGCCTATAGGCCAAATAGGTAACTGGGAGTTGAACAGATATTTTGGACTATAATTTCATAATTTGATAATTTGATTTTTAGAGCAAGGCAGACTAATTCAGTACGTTTCTACACTTCGATTTCAGTTCTTACTGTAATATTTAATACATTTATTAAGTTCAGAGGACAGACTAAGTTCTTAAACACAACAGGTGGGTTTTATTCACCTGCAATCTTAAGACCTGGCATTTCAGCAGCACATGAATAGGGCCTTCACAGTGTTCCAGAGAAACAGCAACCTGGCTCAGGAAAAGCACCATTAAGACAATCCCACGTAACTGGAAGGCATTGGATTGAAGATTGTCAGGGGTACCATGATTTTAAAATTAAGAAAGTCCAGGAGGCAGACCTTCATTGTAATTAGTTGACATGCCAATTCTTCCATGTGCCACGAGTTACTGGTTTATTACTACTTTTTTTTATTGCAGCTGGCAAACTTGCACAAGGACAATGTCTTTTCACTGGCAGTACTAGAAGGAGGTGTCATTCCAGAAGTGTTCTTGGTTATTAATGGGTATCTACTGAAGGTCTCCTTAATATTGGTGTCTCTATGCTGCGCAGCTTCAGTGTCCCCTCTGAAAAACTAGAATTTTCCAAGGTAGATTTTCAGCTGGGATGCATCCCCAACTGTGACAGCCCCAGCCACATCAGGAGCCTGATAAGATCTCTTCAGTTTCGTACTATGTGTTTTAGGACTAACTTCCTGAATTAATATTTAATTTGACTCAAATTAACCCTGTACTTCTCCTCCCTCAATAAAATCCTGTAAATTTGCTCTTTTTATAAGTTAAAATTAAGGCACATGATGAAGGAAATGAAGAACTCCATCGTTCTCCGTACCCTATCATGTGCCTGCTGACTGGCAAGGAACATGGCTGGGCTAATTAACAAGTCTAGCCTCGTTACTTTTGCTGGATCACTGCCTTCTAAATTAATGTTCTGTATTTCCAGCAAACTAAGCCATAAGCAAAAATGAGTGTTTTCTCGCTTCACCTGCCTGGCCAAACTCTTTGCGAGAGAAGCCTGCCCTCTCCCAACAACAGCTTAGCATAGGGGGCCCACTCGACTGGGCCTGCGACCTTGTGAGGAGGCAGTGAAATGTCCTGCAGAAAGCGTGCCTGGAGCGGGTTGGGTAATTCCAGCTATGCTGTCCACAAATTCATTCAGTTCTCAGTCACACTTGGCGGGGGGGGGGGGGTGGTCTCATGAGTCTATTAATGTCAGAGTCTATTCCCACAGAAACCTGAGTACAGAATGTGGTCTCATCAGCAAGAGGGGGGAAGCTTGTTTATTTCAATCACCTCTTTCTGCACCTCTTCAACACGTCCTTATCCAAACTGGGTCTTGTGTGTCTGGAGTTATAAACTGCAAATCTTCCTTTCACAAGAGGGTGGGAGGACCAT